TTTAGATACGTTCACGTGTAATAATACTTTAATGAGATAAGGAAACGGGCGTCCGTCACGGAAACACAACTCAGGCCTACACATATTTAAGACAAAAGATGAAGTTGTCGTTGTGATAAAAATGCCATGACATGGAGACGTACAGGTAGAGTAGATCTATAGTTTCACATATTTTTTACTTTTGTGTTATTTTCTTTACTAAATTTTATGACGTCCTAGAACATACTACGTTGTGAGTATTTAAATATTTAAAATATTAAATTGAATTTCCAGCTCCGGTGGAAGTGGTCTGAAAGTACTAACATTTGTGAGCTAACAACGCAAAATGTACTCAAAATTATGTTGTTCAGAGCGCCACAAAAGGATGGATATGACCGTTAAATTTCATATTAAATAAAATTAATTCTACTGAGAACTTTCAGATAGTGGTATCTGTAGTGAAATAAATATAGGAAAAACGTGGCCTCAATGAACTTCCATAACTTTCTCCCATGCCGAAAATATATAAGCTTTCAGAATAAAATGGTTAAGAGCAGAATATAAAATATATTATATATGTATTTCAGTAATGTAGTATACCTTATTGAAAACGAAGAGGGTCTGTAAACCGAACCTTGTCGAAGCAATCAACAGATCTGGAAATTTCGCTGCCAAATATAGCTTTATTTCAAATTCCAAGTATTTCTAATATATCGTTTCTGGGATTAAAAATTGAAAATTTTTTAACGTGGGAAAGTCATATTGATGCAGTAATTGATAAGTTAAACAGATCCTGTTTTGCAATCCGATCAGTTAAATCCTTTTTACCACTGGAGACATTAAAAATGATGTATTTTTCCTATGTACATTCTATAATAACGTATGGATTAATATTCTGGGGTAACTCCCCGCATAGTATAAAAGTGTTTAGGATGCAGAAAAGGATAATTAGGATTATAACAAATACAACAAAGAGAACATCGTGACGTAGTTTGTTTCAAGAATTGGATATCCTCCCACTACAAGCTCAATATATATTGTCGATCTCTCTGTTTGTCATAGTAAATAAGGAATTGTTCACATTCAACTCACAAATGCATAATTGTAGTACCAGATCTATCTGTGATCTGCATTATCCACAAACTAGTCTGACACAATTCCAAAAAGGAATGTGTTACATGGGGGTAAAGATCTTTAATCATTTGCCACAAAAAATCAAATCTGTGTCTAATGACTTGAAAAATTGTAAAATTCAGTTGACAACATTTTTATTGCAAAACTCTTTTTATACATGTGATGAATTCTTTAGTAACAAATTTGCCTAGAAATAAGGATAATAGCATAAACAATTTTAATATTGTATAATTTTATGTATAGTGATGTAAGACTGTAAATTTAACACATGTTTTTTATCTATTATAATGATTATAAGCTGTACATATATATTTATAATTGTATTGTACTATATTAACTATGTGACTGGTTCTATGTCTATGTATATGTATTTATGGAATATACAATAAATGAATGAATGAATGACTTGAATCAGGTTGCTTTACTGCATTTTGTTTCTCAGGTCGAATTTGTTGATGATAATTACTACCTGGTAGCGAATAACATTTGCAGTTTAAAGAGTACACAGATTTTCCTTGGTGAAATTCAAGGAAAATGATAGTCCTAATTAGGAGATAAAACTGGAAAATTTGCCAAATAGTTGGGGTGCCACAAATGCAACTACAAGCCACTTCGAGTAGGCCTATAGTAATGAATTCTTGTCAGATTTTAAATATCATTGACCCTATATCCATAATGCAACATATTATTAAAACGCACTTCTGGGGTCTAATATATTCCCTTCATTATTATATTTATATTTCAGCAACTAAAAATTTGAAAAAGAAAGAACAGAGATCTTATAGACATTTTAACGTGAATTAAGTTTTAAAAAGTGCTAATTTAAAAATCAAATCGACGCGTGTAGATTAACAAAGATTTTATACAATTAGAAAGACTGGTAATTTTAAATTTTAAAAAGCAGTGTAACAGCTACGTGAGTGATACACACCTGATGATGGCCTTTTAGGGCCGAAACATGTAGTGTGGAGGAGGAAAAAGAAGAAAAAACTACAATAAAATTTGTTGCACTTAAGACGGTATTTATCCATATATATTCCCTTCATTTTGAGTTAAAGACCTCTTTTAGAAATGTTTTTGGATATTTATTTCAGTTTTCATATAAAGTGGTTAAATGTGAGTGTAAGATATTCACTTCAGTCCTCTTGTGCCAAATATGTATAGACCATTATGTAAGCTTTCATATAAAGTGGTAAGTCGTGTTATTCTCTCTGGACAGAAATTACCTGAGGCAGCCACGGAGCTGTAATGATAAGAGCAATATCATAGCATTCAACAAGTACAGAGTGTGATTCCAAACTTCGTCAGTAGTCTTAAAACGAAAGAATATTAAAAATTTGTCATTATAAGAACACTCACATGAATACGGAAGTATAATTAACTTACTTATCAAATTTAATTAAGGAAATATTCAATATGCAATATAGGCCTTACATTGCATTAATGTAACATCCAATATCACTAAATTTCGGAGTCACGCGAATAGGTAATAATTATGTTTGGATGTATCAAAATTATGTTTTCGATATCTTAAAATTAAGTTACTCATTTGTACTATATCGGTTAGGTTATCGTGCCTTCACTGATTAAAGCGCAAAAAATGAGCATGTCTCTCTGTCGGCAACCATTATCGCACATGAGTCCAACTTGTTCTAAAAACTTTGGATTACGATGAGATCAGATGCAGGATACGCTTGGCCGCAAACTGTGACGTCCTTTAAAATGGCGACCTTCAGCTCATCCCCCAACAATGGGATGACCACACTGTGACGTCAGAGGTCGCGGCCCTGACCACGAGGCCCACCTACATTTATCTTCATTCTACGTAACGGAGAGAAAATAGAAGTCAAACGCGTCCTCGGTCCCCAGCGCGTCATTGGACCTTCCAAATATGAGCTCACCTGTCTTTATGCAAGAGAGACCGTCTCAGCACCCAAGAAATTCATCGCCGTTTATTGGACCCGAAATTACACTGACCTGTTCATAATTGCCAAAGAATACCTTATAAAAACTATAACAGTACTTACATATTATTGAATATCACAATACGAAATTTTAAGACCACAAATCGAATGGCGCTAACGTTGCTATAATTTGAAAATTTCATGTTACTATTAGTGGGGGCATTTTATGAGTTGACGAAATTGTGAAGATTGATATTGATGTGAACAGAGGCTCATCACGATTTGCATAATTGAAAGAAGTCATTTTGGCCTCTATGTTGTTCAGAGAATTGAGGTTTAGCTCTTAAACTTCAGCGTGTTAGGTTTTTTTTTTTGTGCCATAGATTCGCCGGTACCATTTTAACTTTAGCTTCTGTATGACGCGGGCAAAAGTCCGTCTCCAGCCTGCAATTCAAACCCGTTATCCCAACATCATCTCGCTCTAAAATATTCTCTTGTGTTTCTTTCCAATTTATGGTTTATAGATTAAATGCTGGGGGTTTTTTTTTTTTTAGTTTTAGCGCAGTAGAAAATTAGAACGAGTGTTGCATGCAGCTTCATAATGTGCCGTTGCGGGCCTGTGAATTTCTGAATTCGGAGAAACACAAATGGTTCTGAAATGTTGTATTGTGATAGTCTATAAATATGGAACGGTATTTTAGGTATTTTTCGCGATATCATGATTAAGGGTACGAACTTCGGGATCCATATAAGACGGGGAAATTCTTAACTATTTGAGAGAGTGTTAAGAAATTCTACCTTTTTTGGTTATTTAACGACGCTGTCAGTAAATAAGTCAGTATATAGAATCGAATGGTTGGGGATTAGAAATTAATGAACTGGAAGAGATGTGGATGAAAGCGATCATGACCTGATTTTGAGGCACTACCCCGGAACTTGCCCGGAAATACTGAAGAAAATGAGTCCGATAGTCAGTGTCCTGACCGAAATTCTAACCGGGTACCTTCTATTTGCTTAGTGCGACCAGTTGTTTAGTTATTCAAATTGCTAATTAGTCCATCGAGTGCATATTTATGTTAAATGTAATATGCCACAATTTACTTCAGAGAACGAAGCTCTATTTTTGTAGTTGTTTCCATAAAAGAAATATTTCTGTTTAATACATACATGCACATGGCAGTCAGGATCGGTCAGGATGTTTCAGTCGGTATAGTGAAGGGCTGTGGGCTGGGCGGTCAGGGAACGGCTCCTGATATTGGTAAGGAATACTTTCTTCTTCACCATAGCTTCCAGACTGGCCTTGGGCTCACCCAGCCTCCTGTCTAATTGGTACTGGGGTCTCTTCCCCCGGGGGTTAAGTGGCCGGGCTGTGAAGTTGACCACTCACCTCCATCTGGTGCCGATGTCAAGAATAGTTTGGCTTACCTCCACTCTCCCATACGTCTTTATGGCGTGGTGCTTAATTAAGTACAAGGGCAAACTTACCTTTACATACACGTACGTAGAAGTTAAGGAAATGTAACTTCTGTGTGTTCTCCAATTTGCGTACCATACCATGAAGACGTATGAGGCAGTGGATGTATAACTCCACGCATTCTTAATCTTGGCCTCTTTACCCCCAGGGAAATAGAGAAACCTGCCGTTTGAATAAGACAGAGGAAGTTATTTAAATCTCGCAGATACTATAATCGCCTTGTTACCTGTGAATGTGTTTCATATTTTTTTATTCGTTTATGGATGTATTAATGCTTTAATTTACTCATGTACATGTTCACTTCTTAATACATTTATTTATTTGTTTAATTCTTAATTTTTATTGGCGTTTGTTTCACATGCGTTGAATTTAAAGACGTTGTGGAGACATTTCTCTCGCGAGTTTACGTGTATAACGAGAAATGTGCTGTTGGCCAGCCAGTAGCATACGCAGGCCAAGAGAACCTTGAGCACCTTGAGGGCCGTTGATGGCTGTGCTAGCTCATCTGTGCGCGTCTGTGGCCGTGGCCCGTGGCGCTCTCCGCCAGTCGCGATTCGACAACGATGCGGGACGGATGTGGCCGCTAGGATTGTTGTTTGCGGGAGAGTTGGTGTCCTGAAACTGAGTGTGAGTTGTAGTGGGTTTCGATTGCATCTGACTGGAGCTTATGAGGTACGTGAGTAATACAATTACGAACACGATTTCAGAATCTATTATCTGTATTAGTGAAATAAACTAAACTCCGCCTCGTTTATCTGGATCGAACCTGCACGAACTTGATAAAACTTCCCAACCTGTCACTGATTTTGTATTAATTGTTATTTTATATTCTTCCTTTCAATATTTATGAAGTTTAGACCAGTCCCGAAGTTATACAAACTGTTCAGTTTGTGATAAGGATGAGGGTGTGGTTATCGAGAGTCTAATGGAGCTGGGAAGTACGTACGCCGCTTCAACGAATCATGACAAAATGAGTATGCTACTGAATACTAGCATAGGCCTATATTGTTCATGGCGGAAAAATAAAGTAAAAGTGTTTAATTTCAGCGTCGTTTCGAAGGGAAGCAAAACCTAATGATCCGCTTTGTGAGAATAATGTAATAACAAGAATTAAGTTGCATATTACAGAGAATATTAAGGCGGAGAAATATCAGCTGAGAGTAAAATGGGGTAACTCTATTTACACCTTCATTTATGAATTCACTTAATCACGAGATGCATCAGAATAGTACAATAGGGTAATCATATAGTATCTATATAAAATGTATATACGTAAGATACAAGTAATTATATAAGTAAAGGTAAACTTGTCTGTTACGGAATTAAGAACCACGTCATGAAGACGTATGAGGGTGGAGGCACAGCTCCAGGCATTGTTAACCTCGGCACTAGATGGAAGCGAGTCTCACCTTCATGACGCTTTACTCCCGGGGAAAGAGCCGTTGCACCTACAGGACAGGAGGCTGGGTGGGTCTCATAGTCGGGTTGGACGCTGAGGAGAAGAGAAGTCTTTCCCCCATCTGTGACTCGAACCCCAATTCCCGGTCGTCCAGCTTGTAACCTAGTCCCTACACTGACTGAAATAACCTGGCACCTAAATCTATACACGTATGTGAACAAGTAAAAACTCTTTGAAAAGGCTTATTTATTGCAAGGGGTGATAATGAAATGTCATATACAATGGGCTTGGGTCATAAGAAACCAGTTTGTCTAGATTTGTTGCATCGTGGGGTCGTGTCCCATATATGGATATTCCTGTGCTATTTTCGTTACTATTTTCAAAAGATTAACCAACATGATTTTGTCTGTGGTTCTGTATGGGTGTGAAACTTGGTCTCTGACATTAATGGAGGAACATAGACTGAGGGTGTTTGAGAACAAGGTGTTGAGAATATTCGGACCGAAGAGGGATGAAGTGACGGGAGGTTGGAGAAAACTGCATAATGAGGAGCTTCATAACGTGTACTCTTCTCCAAGCATAACTAGAATGATGAAGTCAAGGAGAATGAGATGGGCAGGGCATGTAACACGAATGGGGGGAAGAAGAATGCGTATAGGATACTCGTGTGAAAGCCAGAAGGAAAGGGATCACTAGGAAAAACAAGACGTAGGTGTTAGATAATATTAAAATGGATCTTAGAGGGATATGATGGGATGGTATGGATTGGATTGATCTGGCTCAGGATAGGAACCAGTCGAGAGCTCTCGTGTGCACGGGAATGATCCTGCAGGCGTAATAAAATGCTGGGAATTTCTCGAGTAGCTGGACAATTGGCAGCTTCTCAAGAAGGGCTCAGCTCCATGAGTGAGCTAACCAACAGGAATAGAGTGAATTGTATAACGAAGCTCCTTGCCGTGTTCTCTTCACTTAGCGCAGTTAGTGTGTCTGAAAATTAAAGAACATACATCACGAACGGTGAAAACTAACTCTTCAGAAGCAAGAAAATGTCGTGGTACAGTTCTCGGAAGAAGGGAAACCAGACGAGATGGATGTCTTAGTTGGACGAACTGCGCATGTGTATGATGCCAATGTATTAGTGAAAACACGAGTTCTTAAACAGGATTCATGGCATGTCTTTAAACTTTACTGAAGATATTGACTTAAAATATGTTTATTTCAGGTGCCTAGGACTGATAATAGAAAACTATGCGCATACAACCACATCAGTCTAGACTCAGTAAATGCAGCCTCTCTGTTTAGAAATTTTAAAATTCTCCTCCTGTCCTCCACCATCTCCCTCCCCAAACTGTAGTGCATACGTGTAATTTTATCAGTTATTCTTTGCTGTTGTGACACTTCTCCGAATCTGAGAAAAGAGCTTACGTGTAAGTTGAGAATATTAAAAATAGAAGTGATGGGCATTGGAACCGCGAGAGACAAGTTGATAGGAAATGGAGCATGTCGTATACGACTCAATTCTTTACTTGCTTCCCTTACTGTTAACGGCAATTACATTACGGATGCTATGGAGCACTGAGTATGGACCACGCTCGGTAAATATGAAAGGTGTAAAATACACGTATTCTGATGCTGCAAGTATGGTTAAGGTGCAAATAGAGGGAAACTTTGGTTATCCACAGATACTTGTTTTGATTGAAGCTTATTAGAATGGTTTTCTTAACGATTCTCAGAGTATCTGTGAATAGTTTCCTGTATACTAGGGCTACTTAACACTCCGTGCACTGGAGACGCAGTGTGTTTTCTGAGATATAAGAAGGCTTTCATTGGGGTTTTTTTCAATTGACCCTACCCTTCCGGCCGCACTATGGCCCCAGGGTTCACTCAGCCTCTAACAGAAATTAGTACCAGGAATTAAATAAATAATTTTCCTGGGGAGTAAAGCGCGGCCGGCGCGTAAGGCGATTGTCTAGATAATGTGGAACCCTCAACGTCTCACATCCTTATGGGCCTTCATGGCCTGTTAAGGGGATAGCTTTACTTTACTTTTTCACAATAACAGTGCTATACTTCCGGACTCTGCAAAAAGAAATGTATTCCACGAATCATCAAATAAATAAATGATTTAGGCAAAACCACATAGCCAAAGAGATTAATGGTTAGTAAATCATTTAATCATTTTCTTCTTATTTTTCTTACCTGTCGCTACACCCCTTTGTGAGCCTTGGCCTCCTTGATAAGAGCCTTCCAGCTTGCTCTGCCTTGTACCTTCTTCCATCAAGCTGTCACTTTCAACATTTTAAGATCTTTCAGTACATCATCCAGCCACCTTAATTTAGGTCTTCCTTCGTTTCTACTGCCCTCTGGCTGGGAGAAGGTTAATTTCTCGCAGAGCGAACTTTCATCCATCCTTGTGATATTCGCTAGCCGCTTTGGTCTCTCTATTTTTATTGATTGAATTATATTTTGTTCTTTGAATAATTTATATAATTCTTAATTTATTTTATTCTCCATACCCCATTTGGACAGCTTGGGCCATGGATCTTCCTTCAAAATTTTCTTTCAAAACTTTAATCTATTTTCATTTATTTTAGTTAGTTGCCAGCTCTCGCTACCATAAATTATAGTCGGTTTTGTAAGAGTTTTTATATTTTACACTTAGTATTTTTCTTATAAGTTTTGACCCCAGTAAATTCTGAAACCCATAACATTTATTTCCTACAAATATTCCGTTATTCATTTTCACATTAATATTGTTATTATAGGCGACTATGGACCCAAGACGTTAGAATTCATTTAATTTCTATTTTTTGTTATATATTATAATATGCTTCTCTTTAGTTTTATTACTGCTAACTTCAATAAATTTAGTTTTATCATTATTAATGGTTAACCCCACTTGTGCTGCTTTCTCTCTTCTTCCATATCTATGAGTAAGAACAGCATTTAACAAATGACGTCTTGAAAAATACTGCAATATCGTAATTATACAAAGCCTTGATGTCAGCTTACTCAACATTTCATGTTGCAAGTGATCAGACCCACTGTAACATTTGTCTTGTACCAAGCCATTTAACCTATAATTTATTTACGTTGTTACCATATAATTTTGCATCTTAACCACAGTCTTAGGCAGGTTTAGTTAATCTCTCCTTCCATAACGAAATGTGTGCATCTGTGTGTGTGGAAATGGCACAACACCTCAGTTTTGGAACAGTGTGTGGCCAAAAGCGTGAGTTTTGGAGCTGACTATGACCGTGGGTGACCTAGAAGGGAAAGTGGATTGTGTGATCGGAGTGGGTCACATTTTCTTTCAGATAAGCTCATTTCATGACCTTATTTTACAGTTCGTAAATCCTAAAAACCAGGAATAGCTAAATATTTTTGTATCTGAATGACAGAAGTTCTGAGGATTTATAGGACATCACTTGAGACACAGTGCTACAAGCCGGAAGGTCGTGGGTTCGAATCCCAATGAGATCATTAGATTTCTCAATTGACCTATCTTTCCAGCCTCACTATGGTCCTGAGATCGACCCAGCCTCTTAACATAAATGAGTACCAGGAATCTTCCTGGAGGTGAAGGGCGGCCGGCGCGTAAGGCCGACAACCTCAACCTACATCCCTGAGCCGATTGTCAAGAAAATGTGAGAGCCTCAACGTCTTTGCAAACCTATGGACCTCCACGGGCTCTTACAGGGATAGCTTTACCTTATTTGCTAGGACATCACTCCTATGATTTGTTACTGTGCGGAAAATATGAAAGTGTCAATTTGTTTAAACCATTAATCACCGCAACGAATGCCCACGGCCGTTAATTTCGGTTTTCTAGACCGGAGCCGCCATTTCCTTTAAGTGTCTCCTAAGTTATTATCACGAGGCTGAGTGGGTCTAGTCCCAGACCAACTACTTCTCTAAAAAAAATGTGGTAGCGCCGGGAATCGGCGGACGCCAGGATCTGTAGCCAGGAGCGCTGACAACTAGACCACAGAGGCGGTCCTCATGACAATATATATAACATTATTTTATCAAACGCTGTAGCCGAATGGATGACACTCTTAATTTTTATGCGTGAAGCTCCAGATTAAAAAAGAAAACCAAGTACACACTGTTCGACCCTGAAGAGAGAGACGACACGTTCCTTCGAAACCTCTGTAAATTTATCGCGCTACAGGTTTCACTTCCCAGAAGATACTGTTCTTCCCAGCAATGGCCTTAAGAACCTCACACCTCACACCTCACACCTCACACCTTACATCTGTATCCAGATATTCACGAAATAATGCAATGACAATTAGGCCAGCATCGTAGTACTTTAAGAGAACAGCATCAGACGGACATACCTGTCTGAATATAAATGGGATCCCTTTCATAGACGTTTTATCACGTCTTTTTTGCTCAGCAAAGCATTTTGGGTTGCGTGTTTTGCAAAATTACGTTGTAAACTAAGTGCGAATTTAAAGAGACAACACTTCCATGAAGAGAAAGCGCGAAGAGTGGAATGAGTTGGCAGTAGTTCTACAGATCCTTGGCACAGTTTGCCATATCATTATATGTCTTCACCGAGTTGATACTAGACGAATAATAATCTGAACAGACTGTCCTTTTTGCCTCGTCTTCATAAGAAGCACGCCTATGTTGACAACTTCACTACGTCACACACCAGTAGTAGCTACAGGACTAAGGAGGCTTCAGAATCACAATTTAAGGCACGTCCACATTACTCGTTCTCGTGCTCGCCCTCGCCAGGCTTGTGCTCGTCGGGAGACTCGTCTGGCTTTTACTTGTGCTCCTAAATCTTCGTCCACACTACTTCAGTTGCTCGCCAGTCTTCGACGCGTGAGGATCCGTATATTTACTCATAGTGTGTATAGGCTGTAGTCGTATCTTAATTTATTGGCTATGGTTTTTAAATTAAAAATTTAAAATTTGCTTGTCTCGTGACTTGTCATATCGTCCACATTACTCGCGAGCATAGAGAGTCACACAAGAATGAGCACGAGTAATGTGGAAGGTCCTTTAGTGTCCGGTAGTACGCTATACGACTGTGCCTGAAACGACCACGCAGTGGGGACAATATTTTTTTCTCCGTCTAACATTCTCATACTCACTCAGTTTGCTCTTTGGATTGGCGAAAAAGATAAGCAGGAATAACTGAATTTGGGAGCCAATGGGACGATCTCTTCACCAATATCTTGTATAGAATTCTCCCATCGGCTTGGCTTAAAACTGACGTCCTAATACCTCATATTTCGTAAATTCGCAGACGCAGTACACAAGAGGAAGGAGGGAAAGAACTTGTTCACGCCGGTTGCAGAAAATGCTGGCTATTAAATAATTACGGTTAATCTGTTTACAGGTAAGGTCTAGTGGTGACTACTGGGTAAGAAATTCATTATCCCAAAGGTAAAAAGCCCTCCACTGTGACCATTAATAGTTCTGGCAGTTTGCGGTGACTGGATCGGGTCATAGCTAAAAGACCGCGTGAGAAAGGCATCTTCGTTCATGACCTCTGTTATTTGGATGTGTGTAAATAACACTATACAGTTATTCAGGTGTTTGGCGAATACATTCTTTTTAATAGAAAACAAGGTAATCGTTTTCTTGTGTTGCTTGCATTGAGTGTTTTTCCGTACTCATTTCCTCCCTCCAACTTAAGAGTTGACCCAGCCCTGTGCATTTTTACCGAACGAAAGGGCATTGTTCAAAAAGCAGTGAAATCTGTATAACGGTAGTAATAAGTATCAACAAAGGTCATGCACTCTCCAAGACAATGTACAAATGCATCGAGAGGCTGCGTGCTTCCTTGATATTCCGGCACCAACAGCGAAATATTCATGTGACTTAGGAACTTGTTGGTATTGTTGAACATGTTTCATTAGAAGACTGAAAGTTCTTTGAACATAACGCAATTATCATTTTAGTTGAGGCAGCATATGAATCCAACTGGTCAGTTACAAAGATTTTTAAACAACCTTATCAATATTTGGTTGGTCTGAAGCAGGCATACCCTTATCATTATAATTTTGTTCATGATCCTATAAAGTTAATATGTTCCGATTCAACTGGCTGTGTCAGCTGGAAAAGTGAACATATCTGCCCTTCAAGGACTGAGACATTTCTTCAACTAACCGATTCACTGAATCTGTTCTGAGAATAAGAAAGTTAATTTAAAAGCACATAATTAATGCAGCAAGGTCAGCATGTTTCTTGCCACTTGACATAATGACGGAATATTACGAGATTTATTTGTTAAGATATTTCATGGCGATGCATCGCGTTCAGCTATCACCCTGTTCAAGACATACCTTTATCCCTATCGTCGTAATGCAACAATTTTCGGTTTTGGGAGAGGGGTGTGAATGTGCCACTCTTTGTCATTGTCTTTGTATCACCGTTCGTTATACCCCGATAATTACGCGCTTACACCAGATATTGAAGAAGTAACTTGCGTTATTCTATGCTCAGTTAAAAGAAATTAATAGAGAATTAAATAATTTAGGAATCACCTTCTTTAAACCTTAAAATAGTTATAGATGCCCACTCCATTTTAGATTTTAGAACAACAGAACGTACATAGCTGTGTCTTCGAAATGAAAAGCCAAATGTGTTGATAATACTTATAATGGAAATGACATTTAACGTATTGTGCGACATAACCATAAACTCTGAGTCTTATCTGAGCAGCTCAAGCCGTCGTCAATGTCACCACTTCTTTCTTATTTTCGGTTTATTTCTACCCTTGCGCCCCCCCCCCCCACTTTTGAGCACATGTGGTGACCGTATTTTGATGTTAGTTTCCCACGTGTAACGAAAACATTAATGTTTTCCGTATACCATTTCAGGTGGCAGTAGATGCACTATATTTCTAAACGCTTGGCGCTGGATTTCTTTAGCAAGCTAATCATAGCTTTACCGACTTGCGTGAATGTGTTCAAATATATAAATAGGATCTGAAGTTCTCAGAGTGATGGTGACGAAGTGTTTACCTTCTGGCATATAACTTCATGTGCTCATTTAGAAGTCAACCGACTTTCCACCCTCTTCATGGTTGAAGAGGAACTCCAGTTGACTACACGGACAATACGACGCGGTATCCCAGAGGATATGTACAATTCAGTTCATGTATACTCTAATTCATGCAGCGATTATTAGAAATTCAGACATATTTGTTGTCGTGAGCTAACTATTGCACACTGACATACTCGTGTAATGGAAGTTGCGCTTGATAACACCTTTAACCGAAATTAAAAATAAAATAAAAGCGCAAAGGTTTATTTAAGGTCACAAAGTGGCCTTTTAAATAAACCAGACTGATTCAAAAGCAACATATTTTGACAAATTAGCGTTGGTCTGAAGTACTGAGTGCAAGCGAAATTGTCCCAGTAGTTGTGGCACTGTTCTTATAGGACAGACGTTCATGAATTTAATAGGCGCTTTTAAATTTCGTTTACTTTTAATCTAATTTCATCATAATCCTTCTCCTTCGCCAGCCTGTTGAATAAACAGCGAGATATGCATTTATGGAAGGTGGAATTCCTGATTTGCCGAAATGGCCCGACGATGTATATTAATGTCCTACGTACTAGGAGTGTTCAGGGTTCAGTATAAAATTTAATCAGGGAACTTTCCTGTAGAGCATGGGTTCCCAAAACCAGGGTCCCAACCGTAACTAGGGTAGTGAGGGCCTTCTAGAAATCGTGAGCTTCCTGGGTAACCAAGAAAAATTGATATCTAAAAACATTTCAAACATGCACGTAGAAAGTGTTCACAGTTCAAAATAAATATTTTTAATATTATGTTATAAATCTCGCACAGTGTTCTGGGTGTTGAGGAGGTACCGTCACTATTCGTATCACGACGTCAGTGTGATTTCAGTTTTTGGATCCTCAAAACAAAATATCAGTCGATATATAGATGGCCGAGGATCGGGCGGCCGGGTTTCGATTCCCGGTAGAGTCAAAATTCTTCTCTCTCTCTATAGCGTCCAGGCCTTCTCTGGAACCCACCCAGCCTTCTATCCAATGGGTAAAATGGGCTCTTTTCCCCGGTGTATGGCGGCCGGCGCGTGAAGCTGATCATTGGCCTGCAACTAGTGCCGAGACCAATAAAACGTATATATTTTTTTCTCATACACCTTCATTATGTAGTGGTTAATTAGTTCAGCACAGGAACAACATTATCTGTTTCTTTCTGTCTACGCTGTAACTGTTTCACACCTACAATGAGAATGGCCACTGGATTTGCAGTCTTTGTCGAGGCTAATGTCTCTGTTTAAAACTGCACTGACAATTCAGTTACACACACTGCCTTACAGTATAGCCTAACACACGCCCCCCCCCCAACTCTTATGCACACACCGAGTGCCCATCGTTTGTTGAACACAGACTTGAAGGTACTTGCCTTGTTCATAATTTTTGTTATTTTGAAAATGCGAAAGGAGACATCTTCTACATTCCTTCTTTGTCACGACTCCTACTTCCGGTTGTCACAGAAGTCTTTTGTCTTGTGATGCCCTATTGTTCCTCTATGCATTGTTTAAATTATACAGTTCTCCCCTCTGTATCCCTGTCTTGGAAGAACAAGCAAGCACAGGCAGAACACCTCCTTAGGAAGGTGATATAAGTAGACTCTCTCCATTGCTCCATCTTAAGTAGGAGGAGCTGTTACTTCAGTTTCCTCGGCGTTTGATACTAGAGCGCAAGCAAAATACCGCATATGCAAGTAATCGATGGTAATTATATAGGTGAGCTTGACACAAGGGCTGCCGTACCTCCAAGGAAGCAGACCCCGATATTCATTAAGCAGGAAACTAGTTACGTCCCAGAGCCAGTCCTGAGCTGTGGGCAAGTGATTGGGCCTAATGTATCTTTCTCTTTCTGGGAATCGAACCCGATTCCTCGGTCCTCCAGCCCATAACCTAGTAGCTATATCGACAAAGCTATTTCGGCTGTTTTTTATTGTTCCCAATACGCAACTCTGAAAGGAAATAATAACATTACAGAAAAAGTTTAATAATATTCTAGTTCGTTAATAAACCGAACTCTAATAGTTAATCTATTCAAGATACACTTAAAGCTCCGACAGCTGGCAGTGAAACATGCTTGAACAAGATTAGGCACCCGTCTTTCTTCTCGTTCTTCCATTGGTTGTAGGCTAATTGCTCAACCGGCATTCTGTAAACTCAGTGTTATCTTAAAGAAAGAAACAGCTGGTCTTTGGCACTGTACGCGGAAACGCTAAGATCGCGTACTACCGCCCGCTCGTGCACGGCGTAAGTTTTAGGCCCACTCACAGAACCTGAGAATAGTGAACCGTTTGTTATCTGCGGCTATGAGAATGATTCTGAACGCTTTACGTATTGTGTTCATTACCTCTGGTATCTCACTTATCTGGAATAGCCATTCCTGCGCATTTCATGCTGGACAGGTCAAAAAATATGTGCCTGACGAGAATGTACGTCCTGCAGGTTTTGCGACAAAAGATGACAGTCGGATCATCACATTAACCTGGCGATATATTCGTAATATTTCGTGCGGAAATTATTCGCTACTATATTGATAGATCAACAACAATTAGGCCCATCGGAGGGCTACAAGAATAAGAATATGGAACAACAGTGAGGCCTGTACCGGCACATGGCGACCTTGGTTAGTTGCATAAAGAAAAAATACCATACCAATTACACTGTCATTGGAATTATAAAGTGTAATATCACATATCACAATTGCCGTAAAATAGATTCCGTTGCATCATTAAATCGTGAAGGTTAGTGTGTATTCTACAACATGTTATCACGTCACAGAAATCGTACGCAACGTAAAAATGCAAGTTCTGTCTCACAGTAACGTGGACTGCTTATGGGAGTGAGCTATATTTGTAGAATTTTAGGTTCTCACAGCGGTGGTCATGACTAATTTTATCTTCTGCGGTACAACGCATTGTAGTCCGTTGAAAGTCAACCGACGTTTTGGAGGAACATATCACTTCCATGCCTGCCTCGTGCTGGTTTTTTCCTTGCTTTATTCTTCGACTCTGAAGAGGGAGGCCATACGAGAGTGTTCCTCCGAAATGTCGGTTGACTTTCAACGGAATGTACGGCGTTATATCTCAGCAGGTAGAACTCTCTCTGAGCTTTTAGTTCTTTGTATGAATGAATTAGTAAATCATTAAGATGACATGGAACAGCCTAAAGAAATTTTAGGACAATTTCCTTCTTATCTTCACCTATTGCTCCTCTTCCTTTTATTTATATTTTTCCCTCGTCCTTTGTTGAAGAAGTGAATTAAGTTGCATATTAATCATTCGGATTCGGCCGCACCATAGCTCAAGCGGTTAGTCGCCGGCTTCTCACCGCGACGACCGGGGTTCAATCCCGAGTCTGGTCAACTGGGATTTGTGGTGGACAAAGTGGCGGTCAGGCGGGTTTTCTCCGAGTACTCCGGTTTCCCCTGCCAATCTTCATTCCACCAAATTCTCCATCATCATAATCACCCGGCCAATCAGTGGCCGCCGTGCCGAGTGGAACCAACTGGACTCCCCTCCCCCCCCCAATAAGCAAATTAAAATAAAGTTACATATTAATCATTAGGATGGTACAGTTTCAAGCATGAGCTCAAAAATGTGAAATTGCGTGAAAAATGCTGCGTAGCGGGAACCAAATAACAGGCACACATCTTTGGATATACGCATATGTTACTGCAAACGGTCTGTTTGTTTATAAATTATAAACGTAACATCCAATGTATTTAAGGGCAAAATATTGTGTAAATATAATGGGACCTGATTATACGTGTCAATTTTGGTGTCACTAATATAACAAAATAGCGTGCCGCTGTGAGAGATTTGATTGAAAGCTGAAAACCGAGATCCTTCCGTCTTTAATGCAGGATTTAATTCACCAGCGTGTGTATGCAGTAAGCAGCAGGAATTTAATTACTTAATTCTTTTGTTTTAGGATCTAAACATAAGTATGAAACACGCACACAAAAATTAAATTAAAATTAAAGCTGTCCCTGTGACAGGCCCAGAAGGCCCATATGGGTGTGAGATGCCGAAACTCCCATATTTCTAGACATCCTGCAAACAGATGGCAGTGAGGTTGTCAGCCTTACGCGCCGTCCTCCTTTTACCCCCCAGGAAGGTTCCTGATACTCATTTCTATTAGGCTGTGTCCACATTAGCGAGCCGAGGTTCGAGCCAAGCTTCGAACCGAGCCCAGTCGCGAGCACATGTTATAACTTTCCATGCGGCTCGCAGTTATGTTCTCCAACTATGGACGTGTTTAATGCTCGCGACAGGGTTCGGCTCGAAGCTCGGCTCGCTAATGTGGACACAGCCTAAAAGCTGAGTCGACCCCAGGGCCATAGTGCGGCTGGAAGGATTACGCACACAGAAATTAAATAAAGAACCTGAGGGGAAGAGGCAACTCGGAAAATATACGTGTGCATGGAGGATGATGTCATACAAAATGGAATATGAGGCTGCGGATTCAAACCATCTGGCTCGAGATAGGGGTCAATGGCTGAATCTTGTGAACAGACAATAACATTTCGGGGTCCGTAAGAGGCGGCACATTTCTTGACTAGCTGAACCACTGATAGATTTTCAAGGACTCTACTGCACTGGGTTAGTTAAACCACGAAAATTACGAGGATCTGGGTGCGTCGCGGGCCGTATAGAAATTCATAACATAATTTTGGCGGAGAAACTGATTTAGTGACAACGTTAGAGGATTGCTTTTATATAGCGATGACTTATCTGAAGGATAGGCTCCATTGGCGAGCGGTTGAAACTTCCTGTTCTGAGTTAACATATCAACCAGTTACAGGAGGCGCCGAAGCCAGTGGTTTGCAATAATTCTTGTGTCTGTACGTAATGTGCATGGAAACTGGCTTGACCAGTTCCTGCAGCAGCGCGTACGCTACCGACATCTGTGGTAAAGGGACTTTCATTTCTTAAGAGCATATTTAAAAAGTTCAAATACTGAATAAGAATAGTGTTATAGTATGTCTTGTTATTTCCTTTTTTATAGTCGTGGCCTTGGCAAAAGAGATTTTCCTAAGCATCATAAAAACATAAAGCTTGTATTGCCGCCCTGTCCACTTTTCACGTCTCTGGAGAAACCGAAAATACACCAAATGTTTTTTTCGACCTTTGATATCTCTCCAGCCGCCGCTGTACCAATTAAATAAGTTTTTATATTGAAATATTCAACCTTCCAAGCACTTCGATTTCTTCTTTCACATATTTCCCCACCAATATAAGATTATCTCTCAAATTTACGAAATCATGTGAACTATTACGGACTGGAGTTTATTGATTACAGTATATTTTGCTGATGAGTGAAACAGCTTTCGTGAAGCTGTGATTTTTTTTTATCTACACATAGCTGACCTTGAACACCATCGTGATATGTGTTTTCTTCGTGGCGTCCACTATTTCTACATTATTCTGGAACACTTGTTAATGCAAACGATTCAGCACTCTTCAGTCTACTTATAATGAGACAAAATTTTTCTCTTATTTATTGACCGTAGACAAATTTAATGGAACTGAGACCGAAGTGGTTGGTCTAAAGTTGAGACACAGCTCTTTAATGGATGGTGGCAATTATATGCACCACTCAAAAGATATATTTCCTGCACACCACTTCTTCCTGTTCATTTCGCCATTTTACTCGGATTCACAATGACAGCACCGCTCTTTAAGTGAATATTTCAGTTATTATTCAGGAGACTTCAATGCAAGTATAAGATACGTATCTTCAGATCGCGACCAACTTTAATGGTCTCTGCTCCACAGATTCACTTTTACTATTATCTATAAAGACTATTCGCCCCATAAGAGGGAAAATACGTCACAATCGTTGTACAACAGCTGAAAATTTCACAGCTGTGATTCGGCATGTAGGATCGTTAATTCTCGCCCAGATCCCAGGTGGCGCAGACGACGGGTAAGGCCATTTACTCTCGTTCTTTCCACGAGACTGACTTCAAAGATGGCGTCTTTGCAGTGAGGAGGTGCTTATTGTAGCTGCGTGGTGTTCAGTGTTTGTTGGTGTATAAATTTATCTTGGGCCCCATGAAAGGGGTGCGGAGGCCCCACAAGAGGCTACAAGTAAGACACGCGTCTTCTAATTCGTGTAATTGTTGTCACTTTCATGCCAGCTGTTTGTGTCTTGACCTACATATTGCATTGACATTCCACTTTCTCTTTTCAGATATGGAGACGAAACTGGCCATGATGTATATACTGGTAAGTGTTGCTCATTTCATTGATGATTGAGATGATGCCATATTTTCCATTTCATCAGGCCCGCATATCATTTTCTACCAAAGGTTGTACAATTCCCTGGTTTGCATATAATCTGGTCGACTTTCAGGAAATTAATTTTCAAATTTTCACCGCCATATCCAACAACTTAACTGAAACTATACGATCACCACCAAAACAGGAGTTTCTGTAACAATGTGGGTTAGTGAAATCTCAGATTCTGACTGCTTTGACTACGAAGATTATCTTTTGGGAAGTTAAGCCTTGTAGTCTTGTAGATACATAGCGACGTTTTGGAGTAATGGTAGCAGCAAGTTGCTCACTTGGCTTACTCCTCGACCCTGATGATTGCAGTAGTATATTCTTTCGAAACGTTGGTAAATACCTACCAGACTACGCAGCATGACATCTATGAGAATATACAACCTTCATCGTAGGTTAAGTTTGGTGTTGCTCTTAGCAAATTCAAACAATATTTTGTTATATAGAAATTCTTAAGCGTCAACACTGTATTTTTTTCTGCGAAATATAAAGCGATCAGATGACGCCTGACCGGCTGAAATTGTATGATTTAATAAAGTGAAAATAGGAGAGGAAACGGAATTGTCCTAAAGGGTTCTCTCAACGGTGTATAGACGATAGACAACGTCCAAAACCTAGTAATTCCCGAAGAAATTACGTTTATCAAACGTCCCCAGTATAGGGCTTTCTTATTAATGTGTATTGTGCGTAGGCTAGTGTCTGTAATATATTAATTAATTAAGCTATCCCTGTAACAGGCCGTGGAGGTCCATATGGTTGTGAGACCTAGAGGCTCCCACATTTTCTAAACAATCGGCTCACAGATGGCGGTGAGGTTATCAGCCTTACGCGCAGGCTGACTGCCTTGTACCCGCAGGAAAATTCCTGGTACTCATTTCTGTTAGGGGCTGAGTCGACCCCAGGACCATAGTGCGGCTAGAAGGATAAGAACAATTGAAAAAATCAAATTACCTCATCGGGAATCGAACCTGCGACCTTCCGGCTTGTGGTCTCCTACCTTAACCAACTACGTTACCGCGTGCCCCACATATTACAAGGCTTATTTATAAACTTAGTTGAATTTATGTTAATGGCCAAATTCTTTTGTAAACCCGGTACGTAATTTATTTATTTATTTATTTATTTATTTATTTATTTATTGGTAGACGCCCATAGGCCCGAATGTATATGATGCCATCACCTAACGTTGAAGCAGAGAATACAGGGCATTAGAAAGTTCATCTTCATTTAGTTCAATCGAAATAGGTGGGTTTCACAGGCGTGTCCTTCTGGACGCAGTGGTGCAGTACAGTGAGGGGATGTAACCGGTTCGACTCTAGGTTACCGACATAATTTTTCGAGGCTCACTCTGGTCCAAGGATATTGGTGTTTGAAACAGGTCTCAGCCGTTCCCTTCCACACTTCGGCCTCCACTCTAGTTGATGTCAGGGGCCCACGTGGCTTATGCTTGCGAACAGTTTCTTAACTTTAATATGAAATCATATAAAGTTTAATCTTCTGGGATATGACGCCGTATAGTCAGACTACAGAGTGTCAGTTCACAGAAAAGAGTATTCTTCACAGTCACTGCCTTAAACCATTCAAATCTCACAGATAGGGAGGCTCATTATGAATACTCTTACTTACTTACTTATTTACTTACTTACTTACATACTTACTTACTTACTTACGTATGGAGCTGAGCCCTTCTTGAGGAGAAGCCGAATCTGCAGCTACTCAAGAATTTCCCAGCATTTTATGGAACCCGAAGCTTCATTACTGTGTTCACAAGAGCCCTTCACTGGCCCCAATCCTGAGCCAGAAATTTACAATTATGAATACTTTGACAACCTGAAATCCGACATCAAATCATGTACTTTCATTTACATTTATCTCATGTTGCATAGGCCGATGAATTGAGAGCTTTATGTGGCCGGACAAGGTTTTATTTGGGAATCTGTAACGATCACCAACTTTAGAACCATCGGTCACTCCGTGACACATGATCGCGCTATGTATGGCGAAGCAGACCAGCCTTGACTAACGTCACAGTTCCGTTTACCCCGCCTTGACACGTCACGGCGGCTCCAGACTCGCGTTTGGTCCAATGCAGCCTGCTTCTATAACGAGAAATACCACGTCACTTGGAATTTGTTGCTGCTGGTCGAGAGATTAACCCTTTTCTGCATTGTGAACGGAAGCTTTGAGTACTCCCGCATCGAAAAGAGAAAATATTGATGTAGCTTAAATTAAATTCCTAAGGGCTGTAACGAATTAGAGGACTTAAGTATTAGAACTTAATTTGAAGTCTGGGATTTAGTGAAATAAGTGATTATAGGAGAAAATAATACTGACAGGTGAAGAGTGGTAAAAAAAAAAGCTTTCTAGAGAAGTTTATTAGGCTAAAGGAGCCAGGATAACGCGGTGTGTATAGTGACTAAGGTACGGGCTGGACGACCGAGGAATCGGAGTGCGATTCGTGGCAGTGGCAGGAGACTTTTCCCCATAGGGTCAAAACCGGCTCTGAGACCCACCCATCCTCTACACATTGAGTACCGGCGGCTGTTTCCCCGGGTGTAAGGCGGCGGGAACGTCAAGCTGATCACTCACCCCCACGTAGTGCCGAGATTAACAATCATGACGCTATACCTCCACTCCCCCTATACTTCTTTATGGCGTAGTGCTTAATTAAATACAGGGATAACCGATTGTTTTCCTTAAAATCAAAGGTAAACGTATTGGGTTGTGACACTGTATTTTCATACTTGGTTTCAGGGAAACTTTTGTAATCACCTACGAAAGTACACGTTATCAAAATACGGAAAACGCCAGTCTTAATTTATTACTTAACTTACTCACTCATGGAGCTGAGCCCTTCTGGAGGAGCCGCGAATTCTGCAGCTACTCAAGAATTTCTTAGCATTTTATGGAACTCGAAGGTTCATTACCGTGTTCACAAGAGCGCTCCACTGGTCCATATCCTGAGCCAGATCTATCCAATCCATACCATCCCATCCTAGCGTCATAAAACCTCAGTATCAGTCAATAAAGAATTCTGTAAGATTTGAGGTTTTCACGGCGGTGACTATGAAGAATGTCGTCTTCTGGGATGTGGCGTCGTGTAGATATTGTGTAAACCGAACCGTCGCTCCTCCGAAACGTCGGTTTACACAAATCTACACGGCGCCACATCCCAGAAGACGACATTTTTCAATAAATAATTCTGTTCTGAACACCATTCCTGCGTTGTACTACATAACGTCATAGCGCAACAAAAGTTCGCTTTTCCCAATAACATGTATCGTATAACGTGCTTTTGTCTGAATTGGATACATTGATCACAAATGATAAGACAATTTTTTATTGTCGTATAATAATCACGGAAATGTGCCCCTCAGTGGGGTGTACATATTTGTTGAATACCTTCTTTTGAGAGTTTTTAACTCATTGCAGATGCTGTTGGAGACCTAATAAATTTCACAGAAATGGCATGAGTTTCCTTTGTTGGTCGTTATTCGTATATTACATAAACTCTTTCAAATGAGAGTTATATATCGTAATGCGATCTAGTTTCGTTAGTGGCCGGGTCTTGAAACTGAACACTCGCCTCCATCTAGTGCCGAGGTGAATAATTATGGAGCCATACCCCCACTTTCCCGTACATCTTCGTGGTGCGGTGCTTAATTAATTAAGCATATCTTTGTATATTGTTGCCATATTATTCGTCTTTTTAATATATTCGTAAAAGACGTACGGATGTCCTGCACACCACTTATTACGAAATTTGAAATGACGTTAAAGCGAGTAATTTCTTCACTAATGAATCATTTTATCACATTATTATTGACATAAGTTAACAGAAACATTAAGATAAAGATACAGGAGTGTAAAAACGCTCTGTTTTGGGCCAAGATTCAGTACACACAACTATGAAGTGAAAGAAAATTTGTGTGTTCATATTTGGTATTCGCATTTAAAATGTTAATGTATTTTATGTTACCAAAGCCTCCTTGACTAATGTAATGTTAAATCATAAAATGATCGTGATGATCATACTATCGGAGTGATTGTAATAATTATGAACCTGTTATGTAACAATCATAAGACCCAAACGGAGGGGTCGAGTTTCATATTGTTACGATTTAGGGGCGTGTTACTGTAGACAGGGCATGGATTTGTGAATGGATTAATTGATCACTTGTATATTCTACTCGGAAGTACACTTTACAGTCACTGACACAGACTAGTGTCCCCAATCTATTACAGTCTACACTAGCCGTTTCCTGGCAACGACTTCTACCAGTGGCGATTCTTCAGCTTCATGTACTCTGGCCTTCTTATATCTAGTAGCCCTGCAGAACTCTTCTCAACTGACAGCTGAAGTAACTGGGTCCTAGGCCGGCGGTCATTTCACACTAACCTTCTAGTCTTCTCTTCTCGGGCTGACATTCAACTAACAACTGAACTCTTTCCCCAACCAAGTACATTAATTCGCCTCACTCAACTGAACTGCTGACAACTTCCACTCCGGAACTCGACTGACGCTACTTATAACATTTCAGCACGAACCACATAGAAAACACCGCTTCCATTTTTGTAATCCAACAATACTTATACCGTTGCATGCATATCCGTTGCCGCCGGAACCCGTTTACCGAACAGTTGCCTAGCGATATCCCGGGTATTGTTGGATTGTTTACCGACCGTTACTTATAAACAGATGTTTGTTTATCCGCCTGTCGCATAACAACGGCTGTACTCTTCCGTTTCGAGGTCTTTGCCCAACAACAGGTCTATACTCCACAATACTAAGTAGGTAGAAGGATATTCGATTCTGTGTGAATCTGATCGAATTCTTTGAGGGAGAAGAATGAGCGGTTCTGCATAGAGAGTTAAGAGAACAAGACGGTTGAGCGCGGCCATTCTCTGCCCCAATTCTAGATACATGATGCGCTGTGTCC